GGGGGGGGGGGGGGGGGGGGGGCGGAAAGGGAAGAGTACGGATGGCATGAGAGGACTAAGAAGCAAAATGGAATGAATTAACATTAACCTTTTACACCATGATGTTTTTGTGGTTTTAGACCATGACAATCGATATCAGACCACTGTCACCTCCATTAGACTTCTCATTCATGGTTAGGTGATTCGGTAAACTGCGTATTACATATGTAGATTTCCACCGATTTATTTTCCTTAAGGAGTCACCTCCTGACAATAAAGTGTGACGGTAATTTTTACGCATCGACATTCTGCCGGCATTGTCCTCTGTTAATAAGTGGGTTGACACTAGTTATGGCCATACAAGATAAACGTTTTCTCAGGGGGAGAGCGGCAAATTCTCCTATTCTGTCTACACAAAGAATATTGAGGGCATCAAATTTACGGATTTTCGTCGTGAAAAAAACTAGTCCTCTATGTGATTCTTTTTCAGCGCATCAAAATTTCGATAAAAATGCATCATATGAAATACAGCTTTTTTCACAACCTTTTGGTTGTGAAAAAATACATCAATTTGATTAATTGATAATCTGTTCGTGCATCCCGCAGATGATGTATTTCGTCATCGTTCTCCATACCATACCCATTTCACGCTGTCCTGGGGGGGCGGGGGGGGGGGGGTAGGAATTCAATCCGAATACAAGGGGATTTCGCTCGTCAGAACATATCCGCTGGTCGTCAACGGAAAGGGCACCATTTTTGTTCCATATGCTTCACTTGACTGTCATCTCCGAAATCCCCCAGTTACGGAGGTTCGATGGGGGAAATGATTATTGCACGGAAATCTTGTACCAAAAACCTCTGCAGGAAGCGTGCGCTGGGCATACCAAGGTATGTTCCAAATGGAGATTTGGCGTTTTCGAGAATGTGACTTTGGAATTTCATTCGTTATTTTTAATTCCGCATGTGTTACCCAGGGAGGTAAAAGTGAAAGGAACACCAGGAAACACCCATTTTCGCCCGTACATATCCAAAAGGTTTCTCCAAAAATGAAGGAACCTTCTCTGACAGATGGAGAGGGTACAGAAGTGAGACATTTTCGTGCCGAGTTCATGAATTGAGCCGAGAAGGAAGGTGGGGTTAGCGTTAGGCGGTTAGGTAGTTACTTATCGATGTGATGGAAAATGGAGATATGTTATCCGGACATCCCCGAATTAACAGGACGGCGCTTACTATGGTTATAATGCTTCCTGGAAGCATTCTCTCCAAAGACCTATTCAAGATGGTTGGAGGAACTCCAGGCCTGCGATTGGTCTAACGTTTCACGTCGTCAACGTGATGTCTGAAATACCACGGATTCACCCTTGTAGGCTTAATTGGCCCTGCAAGTCGGGAATTGAGTTTCTTACGATAGAAGAAAGGTAGGCCTTGACGTGACCTGGAGGCAGTCTGTTGGTTAGGCCTAGGCCTAGCGTTTGTGAGTCCCGTAGAAGAGGGGGGCGGGGGATTGAAGAAATTGAAAGCCATTGAAAATTGGTTTTCACATGATATCATCTCATAATTGTGTTTCGAAGTCAGATAAGCTGACTTCCTAACATCTAGGTGTGAAGTTTGACTTGGCAACGTTACTACAAATTGATTGATGTTAAAGCCGTAATGAAGTTAGTAACGGTGCAACATCCACGATGGAATTCCAAATTCGTACGACTAAGAAGAAAAGAACTCTCCGTGAAGGAACTTGGTGAAGTGAGTGTGCGAACGTTGCATTATTGACACAGCTGCACGGTGCCGTCATCTCTGAGACAATAGACGTGAGAGATGTATGAGTGAAGCAAACAAATGGTAAGGGGTAATGGTCCTTTGACAGAATAAAAGTGCTTTCAAGTTGCTCTCAGGAGACAGAATAATGAAAGACGAGGAAAACGTGGAAAACGTGGATGACGGACAATGTGAAAGGCAAGAGCATGGTGTTAAGTCCAGCGTAAACGCTGTTACGTATTCCGCTCCTCAATTATGAAGGATACGCTTCGAGGCTCCCCTCGGTCAAGGTATTATTGATTATGTTCTGGGAATTACGCGTCTCATCCATTTTTTTTAAGCCTCCAATTCTGTTTTTTTTTCCTGCCACCGCACAAAAGTTGTGATCATGTGAGGAAGGCATAGCAGTCTAAGATCATTAGAGGCTAATAAACACCACAAAGGAGGGTCCGCACGAGAAATTAATAGCGGTAAATTTTTCACAGTTTCACTGACCAGAATTCGAAGTCATCCCCACTCGCATTGAGCCAAGGACCGCAGGACATTATTCACCAACTCGTGAAAATCGAGAGTTGATGGCATCCCTGAAGAGCCCTTTTCTCCTACTTATGAAACTAGACCACACCCGCGTCGCTGGTAACAACGTTCCGACTGACATCAATAACTCAGGCCTAATTTGTAATTAGGAGTAAGAGAAAATAAAATATTGGAGGGATAGCGTTCGAATTTCCAAGTGCCACACTTCGCATGAATGAAAAATGAGGGATGCCTCACGTCATCAGGGAACCCTCACCTGGATTAATGCAAATTCTCAGTCAAACCCGCCTTGTAGTATTCAAGTGAGACACGTAGTTGAAGTTTCGAACATCGAGGCATTGGATAAAATTGTTGATTTTCAGCTAGGCACGGGATGCGCATAAGATCTATTGGATTGATCCGACACGCGAATTTGGCGGGCAGCTCGGTTGGCAATCAAGTTTCTTGTTTGGTGCAGGCGAATACTCTAATCTGAGGGTCTTTTTCTCCATCCGCTTACAGTGGCTGGCGGAACGTATTGAACTGTGGATGAGTGGACTACCCGTGGAATGTTGCAAGATATATACCACATGAAAAGAGTCAAGAGTCAAGAGACTTAGTGATATCAAGAGGCGATTTCGCCCATTTCGATATCACGTGTCGAGGTCGAGCGTTTCTTAATTTTAGGGTAGGCCTAACCCTCTTAACTGATACAACTGATACTAACTTCAATTTTCTTTCAAACATCGCCTCTCGAAAAAATTTCCCTAGGGGATGTATCGAGACATAACATTTTCATTTAACTCTTTGTGTCAGTAGTAACATTCATNACTGACTGACTGACGCTAATTCTAACCATGTTCCAGAAAGGTTAGAAATCTGAAACTTGGTACACATGTACCTTTTGGGGTGCAGAGTTCAGAAAAAATCCGACTTCTGAGGTACATGCCCTGGGGGTACACATTTTGGGTGGAGAAGTTTTTTTAAAATATATATCGTCATAGATAAGGATCTCTTTCGAGAAAAGCTCCTGTACGTCGCCGTTTCGGTGGTGTAGTGGGAACGTTCCAACACGGAATCGGGAGACCTGGGTTCAATTCCAGCCCATTCCATGCCCTTCTTTTTGATTCCCTTGCCTTCCATATCCCGTGGCTTCAATAAAACGGAGAGAAATAGAAAGCTAAAACGTGCCATGGATGTGCCTACTGACACGATGGGTTCAGGAAAAATGCAAAATTTTTCATGCATGCCCCGGGGGCATATTTTTGGGGGCCAACGTTTTCAAGTGTTTTTTTGTCCTGGTGTATTAAGCTAGTGTGGAAAGATGAAACTTGGTCAGGTAAGACCAAAATCAAGCTGACGCGGTTGAATGGGCATGATTGGAAATGGAAGCAACCTTGCGAGCACCATAAGAGAGCGACATGTGAGAGGGACCGACAAATATGGTGGAGGTAGCTTGATGTTTTGGGGCTGCAAGACGGCCAAGGGAGAGGGATATAGCTCTCAAATAGAAGTGGAAAATGATGCAAAGCTGTGTATAAGCATCCTAATAATACTAATTCCTCCCGACAATCGAGTATAACTTGCTCGAATTGGGAGAGGTGGTGCTTCAGCAGTACAATGATACGAAACACTCCTCGCGGCTGGCTCGACAATGGGTCTAGGAGCACGGATTCGAGGTCATATAATGGTCAGGACAATCGCCAGACCTCAACCCAATGGAACATCTGAGGCTACACTTCAACCGGAGGCTTCTAGGGTACGAGAATGAGCCATGCAACATCCAAGAATTGTGGCTGCGGATCTGTACCGAGTGGAGTACCATTCCTGTCCAAACATGCTTGGACTTGATCGAGAGCATACTCAGTGTCCAGACGGCGTTGAAGTCCGAAGAAAAATGCACGAAATTATAATAACTATGCTATTCTGTATACTTGAGTGTGAGGAAGAAAAAAAAAAAAAAAGAGTGTGAGGAGTCAATGGCCATGTCGTATTTCAACAGCTGCTGCTCAGCTAAATGGAGGCCAGTTGATACATGGCTAGCACCAATCGAAAGCCAGGAAGAAGGAGTATTATTCACTTTAGGTTAGATTGAACACGTCACATTCCAGGTATAGGTCATCAATTGGAACTGTGTCAAGCAGTGACACAGTTTTGTATCTCACTCTATGTTCTTCAACACCTATGCTAATCTTCCCTCACCTAACGAGGTATCACACCGCTCTACCTTATAAGCGCATTCTCTGACATTGATAATCTATGGGCTGAAAGAAAACACTGTTCACTGAGGAGTATAGTCCACAGAAGATCATCCTAATTTGGCGGCGCTTTCCATTCCCCAAGTCTTAGAGTGCTCATAATTTCTCTATCATTCAACGAAACAGGAGACAAGTACCCGCTACTACCACTCCGAAAAAAAATCGCAAGAATGGAAGCTTCTTCACTGGTTGCTTAATTTATGTCACTTCGCAAATTCTCTGTTGGATCTTATGTTCCAGAAGTAAATTGCATGCATTAGATGTCATCTGAATGGCTTTTATTCTCAGGATTTACCAGATTTCTCACAATATTTTATGAATTATGCTCATCCCTCTAGGAGAAAGCAAACAGACCTGCATTCCCAAATCGCTTCCAAGTTTCGGTGAGAAAAGAAGAACTCAATCGCTTGAATTTCTTAGACCTTGTTCATAAGGTATTTTCAACAATTCCAGACAGGTTGGAGCAAGAAGAGAAAAGTCAACTCCAGAAAATGTTTGGTAAGAATGACTCGCTTCATAATTTCTGTCTATATGCAACAGTCTCTTTCAAAACTGGTCATTTTACTTTCAGAAAAATTGGGACCGCAGGAAACACACCAACTGCTGGAGATCCTTGGTGAGAATAACTTGTTGTTCCTTCCGTATCTTCGCTGACAACCCAATTTAATCCTTTCCAGGCAAGATGGTACATATTGAGCGGCGCAAAATCATGAATATTCTTAATGAGAACGACCGGTTCTTCCCTCTCCATCTCCATACATCAGCACACATACTTGAAGAATGTTTGGGTGAGAAGTAGCGCATTGCTCTTTGCTTCTAGAAGTCAAACCCGATATAAACATATTTGTAATAGTGTTTCCCTTTCAGGCGAGTTGGGAATAAAAGAGATACACGAACTCCTACATATATTCGGTGAGAGAGATGAGTTCTGTCTCTCCATCTCCCCAAATCTCTCCTTTGATAGCATTTATTTTATTTGCTAGAAAAACTTGATGGAGGCCAAACTCGTGAACTCCAAGAACGTTGTAGTGAGAACGACGAACTCCTTCCTCTGAATCTCCAAGGTTCACCTGATCTGATGCATTTTTTCTTCCTTGCAGCCCTGGAGAAATATCAAGGATCGGAGGATATATATCGGGTTGTAAAAAGTTTCAGTAAGAAATGACGAGCTCTTCGCTATGTATGCTTCACCAATAGGATAACATGTTTTTTCCTTACAGAGCAATTGGAAACGGAAGAAAAAATTCACCTCATGAAAAGTTACGGTTAGAATTGCGAGCTTTTCCCTCGGAAAGTCCGTGTTCATCGCAGTGATCATAACATATTTTCCCTTTCAGACAAACTACGACGGAGGAAATTGAAGGATCTCATCGATTGTTTTCGTGAGAAAGATTAACCCACCCTTCTGCATCTCCAGACCCCACCCGATGTGATACTTTTTATCAGAAAATTACTGAAACATGATTAAATACTTTTTTTCAGAAAAGCTGAAACTAGATGAAATACGTCACTTCCTGGATAATATCAGTGAGAACAAAAAAAAACAGATTCGCATCTCTCATCCATTTTATATCTATTGCGATGAAGTATGTTTTTCTTCGCAGACAAACTGGAATCGTACGACGCAAGACTCCTACAAAGTCTACGTGAGAATTACAAGCACATCAGTCTCTATCGTCCTGGCAGAATATTCTTGAATACCAATACCAACTTTTCTTAAATCTTCCAGGGAAATTGGGAACGCAAGAGAGAAATGATCTGCTTGAAATTATCAGTGAGAATGAAGATCTCTCCCTCCAGAGTGGGTTGTGTGTGGGGTTGGGGGGGGGGGGGGAGCTATATTAGGCTAGTGAGGGAATAAAGCTTAAATCAAGACGTCTCCGCACAGCCTCATTCAGGGAAATATTTGGGGCGTTCCAAAAGTTTTGAGAACCACGTATTCATATATGCAACTGAAGAACCACAGATTCAGTATGCATCATAAATATTTAGGTGAATTTTCAAGTCTAAGACCATCTTAGTTCAGAAGTTATATACACTTGCTTGAATCAATGTCAGGGTAAATAATGGCCGTACATATCGTACACATGGTACATGTGGCACCCAGAGTGCACATACTTTCCTCATTTCCGGCTTTTCATGTAGTATGGTACGTGCTGCTTGGGCACCGATGTTAAAAGTCTGCTGAATCTGTCCAGAAGTACCTCGACGATGATCTTTCAGTAGTTAACGTACAGCGATCACCGTTTGGTGGTTAGTTGCTGTCGGGACTTTGTGCAGAATACCAAGCCCTTTTGGACCTGAAGGACCCACAAATTGTCTGACATACAACAACTTTCAGTTCATTGACAAACATTACCTTCAACTGCAAGGACTGTTACGAGATCAAAATGCGGATGCAGCTACGCCTGCCTTTTCATGGGAAACTTTGAGAAGACCATCCTTAAGAACGCCCCCTTCCAACCCTCTATTTGGCTTGGTTTGATAGACGACATTTGTGTACTCTGTCAACCCGGAAGTGACAAGTTTACTGATTTCATGAGCACCCTGAAATCCGTTCACACTTCCATAAAATTCACCCACAACTACTCTGAGAACGTTTTGTATTTCCTGGACTGACCGTGTCCATAAAAAATGGGATTTTATCGACAGATTTGTACCCACTGACTCCCACTCTTACCTCCCTTTTTCCTCAACCTACCCCTTCTCGCTGAAAAAGTCCCTTTCTTTCAACCTCACCACACGGCTTAGACGGATCTGTTCAGATGAGAACTCCTTCTCCAAACGCCTCCATGAATTAAAACTTGTCTGATAAAACGAGGCTTTCCACTGATAATCATTGATTCTGCATTCCAAAAGGTAAAAGCTCTGGACCGTACAAATCTGCTCAAACCCAAAGTAATCCCTCCTTTCAATCCTCAACCTAAATTATACCTTGATGACCGTCGCCTTGTTTTCGTAGTTAAATTTGATGACCGGATTTCATACATTCATGACTTAATTCACAAAGGTTTCAAATATTTCTTCCGTTCAGACGAACTCAAAGAGACGTTCCCACTCCCCCCTTTGATCAGCATCAAACGTCAAAAAAATCTTAAGGGCATTCACATAAGGTCTAAACTGGCCCCTGTCATTGCACCAGTTCCCCCCTTTTTTCGGTGCTCCAACGAAACCTGCTCTATCTCAAAAAGGAAAAAAAATTGTTTCTTATCCCAGAACAACAGAAAGTTTAACATCCTCTCTCACATGACCGGCTTCACCCCTAACGTGATCTATCTCGTTACATGCAGAGCCTGTAAGGCACAATATGTGGGGGAAACGGGTAGATCATTTTCTGACCGTGCAAAAGAACATATTCGATACGCAAAACTCAGCTACAAGGTCCCGACAGGTATTCAATTTAATGATCAAGGACACCATCATACAGATTTATCCATCCTCCCTATCGAAAAAGTAAGGTTAGCCGAACCATCATATAAAAGGCAACGTCATTCTGGATAAGAATGCTTTAACCGGTCATGAACTCCCTTTAACGAGACTTTAAGCTTCACCTATCTCGCAACTGACGAAATAAAAAAGCTAACAAATGGAACGAAACTAAAATTCACAATTGGCAAAAACGAAAATACATCATTTGGTTCAGGTAGGCTCATTTCAACTGAAAACGTGCTTAATGTTCCCTCCAATCTGGTGAAAACTAGCCCTTTGGGACGCCACAGCTCCGTCAATAAATCTTTGAGGCAGTGCTTCCCGTTCTTTCTCTATAGCTTCATGCAAGGATGGAAAGTCATGAATTCGTCCTGTCTTTCATCCAGACATCAAGCTCACATTGACATTTTCGACAGCAAATTTCGTCATGGGTCATCCGAAAATAAGTACAACTCATATAATATTGAAATCAGAAGGCTGCAATTTGGGATCAAAAGTCTGAGTCACCCCATAAGTCTACCAAATTCATTCGGAATCCACAGCGTACAATGACATTGACGACTTATAAAAAACTAGGCCGTAGTTTTCGGCAAATTGTCAATCTTATTGCAGGTTGCCAATGTGGATGAAAATTATTAGACTCATAGTGTGACTCAATTAGGGTTTGTTTGCCAAGTTCAAAAATAAAACTACCAACAATTGTGAGATTGGTATTTAGTTGACGTTTCATCACCAAAAAGTGTTTAATTTGTTTCTTTCAGCTTAAAATATTTCCCAACTGACGAAAACAAACAGGCAAACAATACAAAACAGATGCACAAATTCCAAACAAAACAGCCCAAAATTTGGTTAAGGGACCTTTCATTTCCTCTAAAAAGGTGGTCAATGTGCCCTTCATTCTTTTGAACAATAGCCTCTAGTCTGGGATACCACAGATCAATCGCTCGGTCAATAAACCTTTGAAGTTGTGCCTCTCAATCTTCCTTTGTAGCATCATACAGGGATGGAAGTTCAGGAATTGGGACTTCCCTTTCTTCCCAGCCTCAAGTTAATATCTATTTTGTTTACTGTATATTTTGTCATTCGTTATCAGAATATATTGAATAATTATAGCTCTTTTAACTTTAGAGCCAGGAAGTTGAAAGTTGATATTCAAACTCCAACTGTCACCCCACAGGTCTACCAACTTTTGTCAAAATTGGCAGCCTACAAAGAGATTGTTGAACCACCAAAAAACTTTTTTTTTTACCCACCATGTATACACTATCGGATACGTACGGAATATATGGGACAAAGAGAAGTTCTTCAGTTGAGCATGAATGTGATTCTCAAAACTGTTGGAGTGCCCTACGTATATAATGTCTCACAGATTTGAACCCCAAGCATTGGCAAAATCACTCTCGCGATTCCACAGTCACTGTTTCCTGCTTCCAAGTAGATATCGTGCACTACTCTGTTCGTAATGCTAGAAGTAGCCATTTCTAAAACACAGGAAAATCTCTTGTCTCTCATATTGCTCAAGCTTGCTGAAAGTTAACTGTTCCTTGGTTTCATTACAAAGACAATTACCAATTCCCAGGAAGAAGCATGATAGTCATCATATGCCCAAATATGTATAGCTCTGTGAAGTTAGGTACGAAGTTTTCTGTCATCTCAAAAATTTTCTCAGTGACTTCCTGGGGATGAGAGCTCTAACTGCAAAATATATATCGTTTTTCTTGAGTAATTGTCTCATTCGGGGGTATCACCCAAATCAAGATTGACGCAGTCTTTCTTAGTCCACTATTTCCATAAATCAATCAAATGTTGACAATATTTACCAATATGTAATTATTGCCACTTCAAAACCATCAGAATCGCATTTTTCGCCCAAATGCACAATTTATGTCAGTGTTTTTGAGCAGAACATGGAACCTTGATGAATGGAATGTCATGTTTAGAAAATGATTCTTGCACGATGGAGACGTTCATGGTGACTGCATGCAATATGCGGCAGCGAGTGTAAATGTGGCAAAATGTATACCAAACTTCGCGCAGCGAATAGTATTAGATATAACCAGTGCTCACCGAAATTTAATAAAGATTCATCAAGGGGAACTCATTTTAAAAATCAATACAGAGAACTTTTCGGACAACCCTTGTATATCCACGTGGCTGGGCTTCTATATTTGTTGGAAAATGCTTAGAACAAATCTGAGATACTGGATTTTTGCCAATTAATGGCTGCTAATACACTGTGCCCTCTGTTTCCGTGCCTTACCCAATGCAGCGTAATTTTTTATTTATTCCAGACAGACTGGAGCCAGAAGAGAGACATCAACTGTCTGAAGATGCCAGTTGGAAAAATAATAGTATCTGCCACATTTCATTTCGCAACATGAAACGAGACAATATATGCTCCTTTTACTTGCAGGAAAATTGGGATATTTAAAGACCCAACAATACTCCAAAAATTTCGGTGAGATAGGGAGCGTTCCTTTCTAAATCTTTTCCCTGAAAAAAATGTTAAATTTCTTTTTCCCCTTTAGAAAAACTGGGATTGAAAGAGATTCGTGAACTCCTATCACGTTTTAGTGAGCACCAAAAGCTCTTCCCATATAATATCTGAAAGCCCGCATTCTAGTCTGAACAGTTATACTTTCCCTTCCAGACAAACTGCCACCCGATGAGATACGCCTTTTCCTCGAAAATTTCCGTGAGAAATAAGTAGTCCTCCCTTTTTTTACTTTTGCGACTCGATTTTCCTTTTTCCGTTTCAGACACACTGGAAACGTGCGAAAAAGAAGAACTCATAAAAAAACTCGGTAACAAAGTACTACTTCTTCTATTGACATATGCTCATCACAAAAATTTCCTTTAGGGGTCGTTTTACTTCCAGAGAAGCTCGGACCGGACGAGAAACATCAAGTGCTTCAAAGTTTTGGTTAGCTGAAGAAGTGTTTTCTTTTCTATTAATCTCAATTACTCTCTTGTTGCAATTAAACATATGTTATCCCTCCAGATGAATTGGGATCGAGCAACAGATGTCATCTCCTAGGATCCTCTAGTGAGGCGGACGATATTCACACTATCATCTCCGTGATGCATCCGACTTAATTAACGATTTTGTTTTCCTATCTAGGAAAATTGGCCCCGAAGGAGAGACGGCAGCTCCTGGAAACTTTTGGTTTGCACAACTTGCTTTCACCATTATTGTTTCTTCACGCCCGTCTTAATGTGATGATTTTTTATGTCCAGACAAACTGGGATATCTCGATACCTATTGGCTCTTTAAGGAATTAGGTAAGAATGGTGAGCTTTATTCTCTGAATCTGCATGACCCATCTCAAATGGAGCAATGTATTATACTTCAGATAGACTGAAACAAAACAGACGACACCTTCTAGGAAGTTTGGGTGAGGATAAATATATCTCCCTTTTAAATGTCCAAGCCTTCCCTGACGCCATGGACGATGTTTACTTTCCAGACAAATTGGGGCTCAGCGAAAGCAGTCAACTGCTCGAAAGATTCAGTAAGAAGGACACTCTATCCCCACCTTGCATCTTCTTGCCTCGTCACTCGTCAGGCAAACTAAGAGTGGAGAAGATAAATGAACTCGTAGTGTTAGGAAGGTTGTTCCAAATGTTTTCTGACTGATACAGAACACCTTTTCCACTAGCAGTGTTTCTTTTTCTGCAGGCTCCTCTAAGTAACTGCGGTTGCAGTCTAATTTGTTTGCATAATTTGTAAATACAGGAGTATTTCCAACAATTTTCGTATGACCGGTTCTTTGTTTGTTAGAAAAGTGACGGGTTACTTCAATTTGTTTTAAAAAGAGAATAACTCTGGATCTCCTACAACCTCAAGAGATGTCTCTGTGCAAAGTACTAACATTGGGAGTTGGAAGCAATGCTGGGAGACAATGCTCCTGATAATAGGACAGTCACTCGGGGTCACGACCCTCCTAATTTCGGGAGGGATGGTTTCAAAGAAGAATTTTAATCATGTCACCTGTTGGAGTCCTCTGATGAAGACTGCATCGAAATTGTGAGGACACTTGTGAGAAACAGCTCATACACCAAGGGTTGCTAAATAGAGCAAGAACTGAGAATTGGATCATCAGCTTTGAATTTGAGAATTGAATCATCAGCTTTTTAAAATCCTTTTCAGTATATACAGGTGCATAATTTTTTTCCTTAAATGTCTTCCTCATGAGCTTCCTGAAGACGAAAGGGAGAGAGAGTTAAAATCTTCTGAAAAATACTGAAGATGTTTGAAGGGTGGTCCGTACACCTGCACGATATCATCACAGATGATTCAGTCAGGGTCTACACTTAATTACCCTTTCACCGAGAGGCGAAGAAGATGCAGTTGTTTCAAGATGTAGAACTACATGTGAAAGAAAAGATCCCTTGACCTGTGAAGAAGGACACTTATGCCTTCTTCATCTCAGCAAAAAGAAGTTGCGAAGATCATAAGCCTCGACGAGAGGCTAACAGTTACTCTAAACTCGTACGCAGATATTTGCCTAGCTGCTGTGTTAGAACGACAACGAAATGCAGGACTTTGTGGAACCTTTCTTCATCATTAAAAGGCCCATGTACATGGGGTCATTATATAAATGAAGTCTATGAGGGAATCTGGGGTGCTGACACAGATGATATCCTCTACCACGTGGAAGAAGCGCAGAGGAAGAAGGAGGAGAAAAGGATGAAGAGGGAGGAGGAGAGGAGGAAGAGAGAGGAGTATTTGAACAAGAAGAGGAATGGGCAGGGTTCCCTGGTCAAGAAGTTCAGGAAGACATTAAAATCGATAAGAAAGAAGGATGGAGAGGATAAAGAGAATAAACACGAGAAAAGTACGGAAGAAGAGGAGAAACTGCTGAATCCTCTGATAATTGTCGTCGATGACTGTCCATTGTGGGAGGGGATTGACGGGATCGTAGAGAGACTTAAAGCAATACATATGAAAATGTTCCTGGCCTTCAAACCTCATTCGGAACATGCAACAGAGAAAGACATGCAGATACTAGTAAATTTCCTTGAAGCGAAACCAGATTGCTCTGCGGTTGTGCTTCGGTCACAACCATCCAACGTGCCGCTCCTTAAGCATATTTTACGAAATGAGACTGGAACTGCCCTAAAGCTGGAAGCAAAGAGTTTGTCCGTGTCTTCCGTGCCCGCCGCCATCGTTCCAGGTCCATCGGTGGAATTAATAAATGCGAGGAACTGGAAGTGCTCAGGGCGACATTTAGGATACAATTGCAAGGGGAAAGGGTTGTGTAATAAGTCTGTGGCTCTTGTATCTTCTCTTTCACTGGCTCCCCTTTTAGAGGCGGCATACCAAGACGCTCAAAATGCACCCCACTCCAGTTCTGCCCGGCTGAATGTGACAGATCATCGTTGTTTCGTTCTGACATCAGATGAAGACCTGCTAGCATCCTTGCAGTCCCTCAGAGACCACTGTGGTGTTCAATTTGTACACCCGAAGGATTTTCGTGGTTGCGAGGCTTCAATTGTCATCACAGTGGACGTGAGCGACGACTGGCTACTGGAAGTGATATCCCGCTCCAGGACTCGGCTCATCATAATCGATAACCTTCCAAACCATGAGGACCTCTGGAAGACCATGATTGCAGAACAACGCGTGCACATCTGTGAGGGTCCTTCTCCCAGTGGCGTGGAAACTTACCCGGAAATCCTATTGACGCTTGATGAGACAGAACAGTTTTTGAAGGTGAGTTGTCCTTCACATCTTCCTGGTCCTTTCTGCGTTTAAGCCTCTCTCCACCTATCTCTCTTTCGTATTCTTTTGATCACAGATTTACTGGGGCTGCAATGGTCAAGTCAGCTCATACCTTTATCAGAATCTATTGCTTGAAGCCATAAAACCATACGACTACGAGGGGTATAAAAAATGTTTCCTATGTCTCCAGAACAAACGCTGTTAGTACGAATATGATGGTACATATGCTATTATTTACAATTATTCCTGCCATACTGTTCATATACTGGTGGCAGGGAGCACGCGCAGTGAAAGTAACAAATTCGGCAGTCTTGATACAAATAGTGAAGTCGGCTATGTGTTACGGCTTTTGTGGAAGAACAAACACGCAGCCGTCGATATCCACTGTCAGATCGTTGCCGTGTATGGTGGCGATGGGCAAGTATATGGAGGTGGTGCCATGCACTTGGCCGAACAAAGGTTGTGGGTGATAAGCGCTTGGGTCGCCGACTTCAAGAGGGTTTGGAAAAACTAATTTAGCAATGGGATAAATGTGTAAATGTCGGTGGTGATTATGTAGAAAAGTAGAGCCGGAACAGGTTTCATATGACCACTGCATGAACGAATGTTGAAAAAATATTTTTATTTTAGAGAAATAAGAAATATATTTCCTATTTCCACTCGTCTATTGCACCTAAAATATCAATACAAATGTGATAAGTTTGATGTGATAACGGTGCATCATAACCTTAAGTATTACTGCAGGGACCAATTTATTGGAAAATGTGCATCCCTGGTGACCGTCGTGGAGAGTCCGAGTGGATATGGTTAATTACATATATTCGGTAAAATCTCCGCCTCCTTTTGTTAAATACTGTAATAGTAAGTTTGTTCCCAGCCAGCACACTTTCGGTGAATCAACATTGATTCGGCGTCTAGCGTCAACGCAGCTGATGTTAAGAAGACATTTGCTTATCAACGTTGACTCCACATTGAAAATTCATGTTCTTCAACCTTAGAGCAACGTTGAATCAGCACTGGTTCGATGTTGAAATGAAACAGATCTCAACATGCTCTTCATTCGTGCGCATGCGCCTTTTTTTAGCTGAAGTACTCTGTGAAGATCATCTCGACAAGATCTGAATCCTCAGAAGTCGCATTTTAAAGATGTCCCGCTCCAAGCTCAACATGAACTCTATGCCGATGAAGAGGGAGGCATCCCGGGCATAAGGTAGCAAGATAACTAGGAGTGATTGCAATAATGTGTAACAAAAATTTGATCGATATATAACCGTCAATGAAAGTCAAATGAAATTTATAGGAATAAAAAACAAAATCGTCTCGGCTATGTGGCTTCTTTTTTTAGGATCGGGATAAGGGGTTAAAACAATAAGTCGTTATATTCAAGTTCATAAGGATATACTCAACTAGTGTGGCCACTTCGCTGAACCAAGCTGAGGACCAATTTCAAACACATCGGTGTCCATTTTGGGAGAAAAAATTGTTTTTCACTAGGTCAAGTTTCGAACCCCTGCTCCCAAGAACACATTTTCGATAGTGTCAGTCACTGTCTTATCTGCATTAAAAACAATATTTTCCATTGATCGTAAAAATTTTCAGATTTACTGCTGAACCTTTGACTTACCCGTTACCTCTCTCCCAAGAACCTCACGCAAATTAGTTGAATACATGTGGAAGGGTGTGGAAAGAGCGATAAGAATGAAATGAGAATGGAAGGATCCAAGCTCTATTTGTGATTTCAGTCCTTGTCAGTTATATATTTATAAGTTTCAAAACCTCGAGTGGCATTCATGGCTAGAACATCAAACAGGATTCATTGGTTCAACATTTTCAGGCATATGATAATTTTACATGTTGATGGATACATCAGGGATCGATAGTTTATTTCATCATTTGGGAGGTTTTTTTGGGGGGGGATGATCAAAAAAGCTCATAGATCTGTACTTATTTACATTATTTTCATCTGTTTATAAGTACGGATTCTGGTCCTGGGATTCCTTCCAAACCAATAGGGATATTGAAAATATCCTAGTCTTGAACTCTCTTCTCTGTGCGTTGCAGATGCCAACCTGGGATGACACGGCCTCTAGAATCGGAAAAAAGGCCGTTGAAAGTGGGAGACTTGATCCAACCACTGGCGCAATCATTTCTTCATCTCCCGATGCATGGAAAGCAATCCACCCCAGTCTTTCCCCCTCCTCGTCTTCCCCTTTCTTCGATTGGGGATACGCGTGGAATGGTAAGTGAGGAATTTGCCGTGAGATCCCAGTCCCTTGCACAGGGTCCGGAAAATGTTCTTGCCGCGATATATTTTGGTTATAACTTTGTTGTATTTCATCCCAATTCCATCAAAATGTTACCAGACATAGCAAACATATTGGGTTGGAAAGAAAGTCTTGCAACACTTTCTAAAACTATTTATAATATTTTTCAAATGAATGATGGGCGGAGCTTTGCATTTGTATATGCTGGAATGTTCTCGAAGCTTCTGCCCTCGGGGTATATAAGGCGGCTTCTGCCATTAGTTGGCAGCCATGGCTCCGATCGAACGAGCAACTCTTCGCCCCATCGTCTACTACGAGTTCCTCCAAGAACACTCTGCGAGAGCCACCGCGAACAACATCTGCGCTGCATTCAAGGGCAACGTCGTCCACTATTCCACGGTGTCTCGATGGTTGAAACGCTTGGAATCTGGCGACACGACCTTCGGAGATCGACCATGCTCAAGACGTCCATCTACAGTCGATGATGAAGCCCTGCGGAACGCCCTCAACGCGAAGCCGAACGCCACCACTCGCTAATCGGCGACTACACTTGGAGTCACCCATATGGCCATCGGCAACCATCTGAACGACCTCGACCATCGGAAGGTTTACTCGACATGGGTCCCTCATCGGCTTGGCGACTCTGACAAAGCAAGCCGTGTCAGTGTCTGCGAATCACTGCTCCTTCGTCCGCACAGAAAGGACCTGAAGGAAATCGTTACTGGAGATGAGAGCTGGGTCCTCTACGTCACCCATACTCGCAAGACTCAGTGGCTTCCACGAGGAGAATTGCCGCCACACGAACCGAAACCAGGGTTCCACGAGAAGAAGGTTCTTCTCTGCTGTCGGTGGGATTCAGAAGGAATGTTGTACTATGAGCTCCTGCCAACCGGTACCACCGTGACTGCCGTCGTCTACGCTGCTCGACTTCAGAAGTTGGCTGGCGTCATTCAAAAAGAGCGTCTCAAATGCGACAAAGTTCTCCTTCTGCATGACAACGCTCGTCCACATGTTGCGAAGATGACTCGCCAGGCGATTTCGGAACCGGGCTGGGAAGTTTTACCCCATCCAGCGTATTCTCCGGACTTGGCCCCTTCCGACTATCACTCGTTCCGGGCCCTCAAGAATCACCTGCGGGACAAGACCTTCGACGATCGAGCACAGCTGGAAAATGATGTCGGCCGTTTCTTCGCTTCGCAATCGCCAGAGTTCTGGGCAAAGGGCATCGAGCAGTTACCCGTGCGTTGGGAACATGTCATAGACAACAATGGTCATTACATTGTAGACTGAAATTGCATTTCAATAAAGTTAGAAATTTTTGAAAAATTTGCGCAGTGTTGCAAGACTTCCTTTTCAACCCAATATATGACAACAATACCTTCATAGGATTTTTCAGAATGTCCACCATCGGCTGAGATACATGATTTCAAACGCTATTGAAAGTTGTCCGTCAGCAGTTCGACCATAATGTCGTCTCCATCCTTATGCAAACCCTTCTTCAGCGAATCCACACTACTGTGCGATGTCGAGCAGGCCTTCTTCGAAAGGGACCACATGGACTAATCCATAGGGTGTATTTTAGGAACCAGGCGTCCTTCCCCCCGGATTCGGAAACAGGTCTTTGCAGAGATCTATCGTCGCCTTCGCTACGTGCACGGGAGCCCAGTCTTCTTGCAGCGTCCATTCATTTTCGTCGAAATGGTCACGTGCCCAGGTGTCCAGAACTTTTCTCAGGATGCGGTCTTGATACACGGCGGCATTGATTTTTCACCCCTTTTTCACAAAAACCAGAAGAATCTTACCCATGGCACAAATCCCAGCCCACACCATCACCGACTGCGACCTGCTCACAGTTGCTGCTCTTGAGTGCCTATATGGACCCCTGGGCACGTGATCATTCGGCAGTGTGGATTCACTGAAGAAGGGCTTGCTTATGGCTTGGGACGAATTTAAGGTCAAACATCTGACGGCCATCGGGGGCTACTTTCCATAGCGTTTGAAAGCCTGTATCTCAACCGACAGTGGACAATGTGAAAAATCGTTAGGGTAACTTGGGGTAATGTGGCCCTTCACAATGAATCCCCTTACACATTGAATAATTATTTTGGGCGGTATGAAAAAAAATTGTTCTTTGGACATGTAATTGTCAAAAGGTTTAGACCTTTTAGAGGCAAGGTCGGGAGTGCGGGTGACGGTATGCGCGATCCCGAGCAGGCTAGACAAGGGAGGAATCACGTGGTCCAGGTCGGAAGGGGTTAACGACAGGTTGAAGGAGGTATGTGTCGCGAAGGGGGCAGTGTTTCTGGACACTAGGGAGGCTTTGAGTCGCTGTAGAAGTCCGATGGCTAGGGATGGAGTACATTTTTCGAAAGAGGGAGCTGTAGCAGTAGGATTGGCTATCATGAAGGAAAATGAGTCTTTTTTAGGGTTGTAGATGGGGGGGGCAGGAGCTCACAAGCAAGGGACAGCCACTACGAGCAGCTTTAGACCGCCGCGTACTGGTGTGCAGGAAAGGCAGGGAAGAGTAAAGTGTTTCTACGCGAATGCACGCAGCTTACGTAATAAAATAGACGAGCTCAGGGGGCGGGCACTGGACAACGGTTT